CTCTTCGGAGAAGTTTGGTGGGGTTATTGAAATAGATTTCACAAAAAAGTCATTGATGCGGTTAGCATTATCATTTTTCAGTATCGACCAACATCGTTTAGGGTTGCAATCATCCAGTTTGGTTGATAAATAGGATTTTTCTCTCTCATGATAGCTTGTGTTGTGAAATTACCTAGCTGTTTATAATATACTCGGTGCTCATCAGTTGGAGAGATTTTTTTAATTTAAGTGAAGCCTTATCTCTAACGTTATCCACCGTTATCAGATAGCTTAGTCTACGATAAGACAGAACACACATTTAGATATCTGAAAAGGTCCTTTATATTCTTACCTTTTGTAGAAACGATTCATCAAAAATACATAAGATATATTCAAGACATAATATATCGTCATGAAGAAGAGTAAATCTATCCATACTAATTTGTATACGCTTCCTTTCCACCTGTAAAGTGTGTTTAATATAATTTAATGTTATATTGGTTCTACATTGAAATATCAGCCAAAGTTAGCAAAATGATATAGAATGAGAAAGTTGTTCAATTGAATGCTGTTATCGTGGTCAGATAATATGGGCAAGTATATGTAGGAAGCGAAAGAGGGTTTACAAAAGCCATTTTTTCCAAAGGTTATCGACTGAATATGTTATATACTTAGAAAAAAATATAAATACGGTTTTCCAACCGACAAGGGAACAATAAAAATTGCCAAGATGGTCATAGAGGAATCCTTTGTCTAGTCAGGATGTATACAATTTACGAGTACCTTGCCTTCGTGGAAGTGTGCACACTGAAACCATGAAAGCATCTGTAAAAGCAATAGCCTATAATAGCTGGGTAGTAGGTCACCGTATATTAAAAGCGAGGATACCCAAGTTTTGGCAGCTATAGTCTGACAGTTTTCAATTGAAGGTAACTCATATACAAATTGAACTGAGAGGGCAACAATGTTAAATGTTAGAAGTAAATTCTTACCGGGGTCATTTTTATTGTCTATGCATCGCCATTGTA